AAAGGAGAGGAACAAAGTATAGAATGATAAAGCAATAATAAAATTAAAAAATATATAAGATTACTAAAAAAAAAAGAGTTACTAAAGAAAGGGAAAAAAAGCAACAACAATAAGAAAAAAAAAACCCTTCCTTTGTTGGTTTTAAACTGTCCAGACTGGTTTTTCTGGTTGCAGCAGGATCTCTCTGTGGGCTGGGATGTGGACACAAGCCCGTGCACCAGCCAGGCTACCAGACTGGCGTGTGGGTGCCAGCCCACACGCCAGGCTGCTTTGGTTCCCCGGGATCTGGCAGGATCCTTCCCAGTCCTGTGGTGGGGACTCAAATGCTTCTACCCCTGTGCGCACCCGCCAGGCTGCCTGGGTCCCGCGAAACCTTCAAGGTCCTTCCCAGTCCTGTGTTGGGACTCAAATGCCTCTGCTTTCCCCCTGAATCACTGCCAGGCTGGGTAGGAAACAAGCCAAGCTGCTGTGGCAGGAGAACACCTCAGCCCACTTTCAAAAAAAAAAAAAGTCCTCTCTAGGCAGTCTGCCTCTCAGCCCAGCCCAATCCCCAGCCAGACCAGTGACCACAGTTCGCCTCTCAATTCTCCCAGGCTGGCGACCACAGAGTCTGCAGTTGAACATGGCCCTCTGTCTTTGTAACCCTCCCTGTTAAGCAAGCAGGCAAGCAGACAGGTCTCTGCCCAGTATTGTCCAGCCTTGCTTAGATGGGGAGCAGGGGAGCTGCTGGCCCATGCTTGTGGACACTGGGGCCCCTGGGTGCCCAGGCTCCTGTGGCAGACACCTCTGGTGCTGGTCTCAGACCAATGCCTCTGGACCCTGACCGCAGAGGCAGCACCCGGGCCGCCTGGCCCAGGGGGCCATCCCCCCCGCCGCTCTTGTCTTTACTCCTATCCCCGAGACCCCGCTGACCCGCCGCTGTCTGCTGTTTCAGCGTCCGTCACAATCTCTGGTCTTTTAATTTTATAAATGTTGGTTAAGCAATGGTTTATTGCACTGTTTCTCTGTAGATCTGCCAGGATTTTCACCCACGAGTATGGGACCTAGAATCTGCTCTGTCCTCCATCACCATCTTCCCAGCATCCCCTGTAGCATTTTAAATTAAAAGCAAGATTTCATAGTAAAATCATGGTAAGTTGAGACTTTGAAGTACCTATTGTTTTGCATCATGTTCTGCCACCATAATGTTTTATAATTAAAGGCCATAGCTTCTAGCTTAGGGAAAAAATGTTCATATGTTAAACCATGATGAAGAAATTGTGCAAGAGGCTTTTCAGACATTTTGAAGTTCCAGCAAGTGGCCTGACACTCCAATCCTTGACAGCTGTGCTAGGTTATCACCACATACTAGATTTTATAGTTAGAAAGATTTATGTAAGGTTTTATGTCCTTCCTTAAGTAGGCATCTGTATACTCTCTTGAATAATATTTTGTAGTGATTTAACATATTAGGGCCTTTCCTAACAACCATCAACATTCTCTTCAAGTCATGCTCTTAATGAGGTTGTTGGTAATGGACCCCACTATCAGTGTCCATGAGATTTTTCTTTGCTTTGGATGGAGAGGGCAGCTATAACAGCTTAGGGAACATTAAAACCTAGCATTTCCTCATGATACCCCAGTGGGATCCAAAAGGCACAACTTATCCAGGAACACAAATAATGTCCCTGACACAGTGAAATACTTTCTCACATTCCTTTCTCACAGTACAACAGAAATAGTAAAAAAGAGGATACTTGTTTTGTGTTATCATAATACCTCTTTTCTGTTTTTGTTCTCCTTGACCAAATAAGTTCCATTTATCTGACCTTTATTGGATACCTACTATTTATTATTATTTCTACTTGTTTTCATTCTAATTGTCCATATTCTTTTTTCAAGCTATTTTGTGAAGTTTCTTCTGATGAAGAAGCTACAATAGATGAGAACCATTTACTAGCTCCAATACAATAGAATTATGGGCTCTTTAGAACACTGCTTTTCTAGAAAAACAGGCAACTAAAACCAGACAGGTGACCTAAGCATTTTTCCACCATATTTCTCACTTGATTTCTTGTCTATATCCAGATGCATTAATTGAACATGAGCAAATTCAGTATTTCTTTGATTAAATTAGGACTTCTTTTCCTCTTTTCCCATTCTTTCTCTCTCGTCTGTCTCTTGTTTCACACTTAGGTACTAAACTCTTTTTTGTTATTGTACCATTAAATATGGTTTAATATTTAGACAACCTAAGTTAATATCAGAGATGCACATGACTCATGCATCTTTCTTAACTATGCTGTCTTGTATGAGAAGATGAAAACTCAGCATTGTCAGAGATTTGGAAGTTTTCTCTCCACTTAGATAATAAAGGTCTCAAACCCAGAACTGTCTGCCTGCCTATTTATTTGAACACTTCAGAAACAACTCTGTTTTAATGCCTCCATGACAAACTCTTAAAAGACTAGATATTGGGTTCTTCTATCAGAAATATGTATCTCCTCATCAAAGAACCCTTGATGTCCTTTATTCAGATTGGTTTCTGGAATAATTTTGAAGTACAATGACCTTTGTGTTATATGTTTCTGAAAGAATGTTGGAGTCTTTCTTTAGAGTTCCCAGTGCAGGCAGTTTTATTTGTTTTTATTTGTTAATTACAGGAAGAGTTGTGTCATACTGCAGATCTCTTTCTCTAATCTGAATAGTCAGAATGATGGTAAGAGATAGGAGTCATGTTTACTAGTTCACTCTAATAATGCAATGGATTGTGAGTATCTCATTAACTTTAATTGTATATTTTTTATTTTTAAACTCAACATTATCTTATGATAACTAATACTCAGAATGATACATTGGCAGTTAAAGGCAATAAAAATTTTGTCTTAATTTCTTGAACATTTTGTGAACAAAAAAAGCTTGATAAAAAGGATAGAAATGTTTTTCATATTGAATTAGCAGTTGCAAACAATAAAAGCACAAGAACAAGGAGTTGTCTGTTTTAAAGGAGATGGAATGAAGTGAGGATGGCTCTGTATAACAAATGATTTTTTAGCCTCTGTCCCAGAATAGCTACATCTGAAAGGGAAGGTATTGCCAAACCCTGCAGCACAAAGACACATGTCATAACTACACTATAGCCAAGTAAATGCTATCATGAAGATAAGGTCAGTGCAAAAGACTAATGCAAAAAATAGTTTTTATTTTGTGTGGGAATGTGGACATATGTAAAAAATAGAGAGTTTATAGATAACTATGGTAGTTACCGAAGATGATTGTAGTTCACCAATGTGTTCACTAGCAGGGACATGAGATTAAACAATACTTAATCTCAGGTTATATTCACCAATGTCCTCAGAAAATGAAAGTGAATGATATCTTTGGCTCTACCAAAGAGATGGGATTCCAAAACCAGGAGACAGAGAGTACTGGTAGAAACAAAACACATCCTTCTTTTTGGGGTCATATAGATTTTGATTTTGTCTTGCCTTCATCCCATCTTTGTGATCTTGCACATGAGAAAAAGTACCCATTTCATCAATCCTTTGCCAACTCACCATTGCAATATTTCTTTGCTTCTTTCTAAGTCAAATTAGGTAGAAAATGAAATGTTGTTTGTATTTGCATTTCTTTTACTATTAGGGAAGGTCAGTATCTGTTATGTATTGTTCACTTTTAATCTTTATTTGAATGTTTGTGTTTTCAGGAGCTCCTATAAATAACATGTCCCTTTTTTTCACTTAACATATGGATATTAAAAAATGATGTTTCAGATGGAAGCCAAGATGTAATCTTTTGCACAAAGGGATGGTAAGCTGAAGGACAGTGGTTATCGTGAGATTTAAGTGGGACTTAAAACAACAAATTTAAAGAAATTTACCAAACAGCCTAGGGACCTATAACATATAAGAAGAACAGAGATACCTATAGTCATACTACATAAATTTGCTCACAGAGAAGTAAATATCAGGATCAGGGAAGAATTATGTCCTCAGAACAATGTGAATTGCCTATTGATGTCCTTTGCTCATTTTTAACTTTGTGACTTATTAAGTTTTAATAGCTACTTTAGATCAGAAATTGTTTTTAATTAACAGGTTTTTTTCAAGCACTGGCTGGGTAGCTCAGTTGGTTAGGGCATTGTTCATAAATGCCAAGATTGCATGTTTGATCTCAGGTCAGGGTACATACAAGAATCAACCAATGAATGCATAAATTACTGGGACAAGAAATTTCTCTCTCTCCTCAATATATAAAAAAATAAAAAAATTTGTCTAATTATTCTGTTTTTAACTTTGGTTTGCTGTGCTTTTACCATACTTTTTTTTCAGTTTTGTTATATTCAGATACCTATTTTCTACAGTATTTTGATTAAATTTTTTGTGGAGAAATTATTCTACTTGAAAAAATTATGAAATCTATGAAATATTCTAAAGGATGATTGAGACAATCTGAGTAAAAAGAGAGATATATCATGTCCCAGGGCCACAAGAATTAAAATTATAGAGATTTAATTCTTCACAAAATAATGTATTAATTCACCGCAATCACAAACAAGAATGTAACATATCTTTTTTTACATTTTTAATTTAATTTTTCAATTTAATATTCTTTTGAATTATTTTCTGGAGTACAGAATAATGATTACACAATCATATACTTTACAAAGTGTTCCCCTGATACTTGACCAGCTGTATCCTAACATCTTTGTAAAAATAAAGTGCCAGAAAGTGCAAGAAAAATATGTAAGATATTTTTAACTGGGTCTTTATAGCATGACAAAGGGATTTGCTACTTTTCAGGAAATCACCTACCCCTGTGTTTTGAACGGAAATTAAAGGGACACATGTTGCGATTTCATTTTGAAATCCTTTAAAAATGACCGTTTTTCCCCTTTAAGTGAATTTCAGTTGACTTGGCGATTCTCCTCCCTCTAATTGAGGAAAAGGCCCCCTGCCTTCCCCATCACAGGGAGGGGGTGGAGCATTCTCAGAAGCTTGGAAGAGAGCCTTTCCTGGCCCATCTTGGGGGAGGGGCTGTATTTCACGAGGCTGCAGCTGACAAGAAGCTTCAAGGTAATGGCTGTCTTAAAGCTAGTTATTTTCTGGGATTCTTCGGGCTGTGGTATTATGGTGGAAAAACAATAGATTGTTAACTGTGAGAGGTGGGAATGAAATAGGGTTTTGGGTAAATTGCTGTTAATTGTGACAGAGTCAACCCCCAGAAAATTTAGTTTCTCCCGATATTTTCTGAAGTCCACAGTGTGGGAATGGGAGATCAGATTACCGCTTCTAAATTAAGACTTCAGTGAGGCATGCTGTTCCTGTTAATTTTTTACATGGCATTCCATATTTCTACCTTTATTACAGAGTTTATTATATTTTGATGTAAACATTTTACACAAAAATTACTGATAGAAAAATGTAAACATAAAAAGTGTCACATACAAACCGAAATATAAATATACAGAAACATGAGAGGTATCCAGATATGCTGCTGAGTGATAGCATTTGTGTGTGTGCGTGTGTGTGTGTGTGTGTGTGTGTGTGTGTGTGTATGTATGCATTTTCCTTGAGGAGAGAACTAGAATCCTCTCTTAACAGTCAGCATCTCTGGAACATTCAGATTACTGAGGGTTTCAAAATATATTTTTATCCAGTTTCAACATTTTTAGAATTGATTTATTTTATGATCATTTTTTATCATTAGAAGGACAAAATGAAGCTGAAACAGTACCCCCGTTTGGTTTCAGACAAATAAACATTCATAGACATACACACATATAGACAGACGTGAAAACATACCCCCTTGTTTGGTTTTTTCCAATAGTGGAAATTTTCCTGGATCTGATCAAGCCCATAGTCTGGTTGCTGTGTTGGCTACAGCCCTGCATGCATCCTTCTTGCAACTCATTCTTTCAGACCCACAGGTATGGCAATCGTCAGCAAGAACTGTCTTTATATTTTAAGTTTAAGAGTGAGGCAGAGAAGGAATGTGGTGCATTTCTATTAGAGCTTTTAAAAATATTATGTGGCATGATGCAATACATACATTTGAATGTTATACAGCTGACAAATGGAAATATGAACACGTAGTAATTTGAAAACATGTCTGAGAAGTAATATTAGTTGAAAAACGAAAATTGCAGAATGGCAAAGATAAAGTACTCTATTAATAAAATTTGTGTAACAAAATCAGAAAAAATATAAGGCTACCTCCTAATGGTATTGTTTGTATGGTTGGAGAGGTAGGAAACTCTTTAATATCTATTTTAAAATAATTTGTAATTCATATTTACTCATTTTTAAAGAATATCAGATAAAATTTTGAGATAAAATGTTACAAATTAGGGGGTAATTATATTTGAAGTGATTCATTAAAAATGACATCGAAAATACTTATTAATATGGAAAAACTTTCAAACCATGGATTTGAGCATGGTAAAAAGATTTTCTGAAACTATATGCATCCATGTACATATGTAAAGAAAAATATGGAACAATACTCAGGAAACAATAATAGTGATTCTTTTTTTTCCAGAATTATACATTCTTTTTATAAATCATTATCTTTTCAGTTTTCATTAAGCATCCCATTTTCTTTGGATTAGACCATTGGAAGTAAAGACATTAGCATTCTATTTTTTGTGCAATGCATAACAAAGCTATAATTTTGAGCATAGTATATTCTGGAAGCCTGAGAAAACTGCTGGCTTGGCAAGATGTAGTTCCCAACCTCCTACTGTAAGGAGGATCTGATAGTAACAAGAGGCAGTTCTGGTACTGGTCACAAGATGGCACTTGCCAGATTTTCGAAATTTTTTTTAAGCAACTATTTTACAAAGTGAACAAAGCCATGAAACCTATTTTATATTAGCAGACTATGAAACAGCATGTAAAGTGTCATTGTAATTCTGTTTACAAATTTATATGTGTCTAGAATAAAAGTCCCCAAATTAGCACCAATGGGAGAAGTAAAAAAAGCATTAAAATATATTTACGTAGAATTTGGCCAACCAAAGACAGAAAGCAATTGTCATTTCCCTGTTTCCTGTCCACACCTCACACTTTTCCTGAGAGAGATGATTTCAGCATGAACCAAGTAACAACTGTATCCCAGAGAACATTTTAATAAAAACAAAAAGAAAATAAACATAACATCTACATTACAGATGAGATTTCATCTCTTTCCTATGCTTCACAATGACATGCTGCTGAAGGTTTTTTTTTTTTTCCATTTAACTGGTTGATTCCCTGTCTCCTTTTGGACAACCTAGGTTAATGCCAGAGATGTACATGACCTAGGGAATGTGCATGTGAAGCCATCTGAATCCCAAAAAGGAAGTACAACCATAGAAGCATCAACCAGGAAGAAGGTCCTGCTGGACAAGCAGCTGGAGTGAGAATCAAAGCAACGGGATTATTGGACTGGGCCCTCCAAAGTCCATGTGACATTGGTAAGGCTTTCTCCTTCCCATGTTAAAACATGTTTAAATTGAGAATATGGAGTGCAATTTATTTTAATTCTAGCTTATTGGCCATGCCATTTTGAATTAAAAACCTTAGATATTAGTGTTAGGATATAATTAAATATGTTAAATTCTGATAAAAATTGTACAAATGGCTATAATGATGTTTACTTATGGAAGACTTATAGATCCCAACCAACTGCCTGACTCTAAAGGAATCCTTGCAAATTACCCCATTCCATAGGTAGCCATTGTGTCCAAATATCTGACCCCTCAGTTCATTTTCTTAAGTCATTGTGTTATTGTATGAGTCCAAGATACACCAACACCAGTATTAATGCCTGGCTGCCTTGGGTACATAAGGCAGCATTAAAAAGTTAAAAGATTACCCTAGAATAAATCTCGAGAGGCCCCAAAGTCAAAGTATCCAATAACAGAAATGATCTCCCTAACACACCAACATCTCACCCCCTCCCAATCTCCTACCACATACAGGCTCAATCATTCCTTTTATGCAATAACTTTAATAAGGCCTGTATACTGGGACATTATAGAACTGCTTCTCATTTCTGAAATTAAATTTTGAGTATTTTCCCCCAGTGTTTCTTTGGTGCCCAGTATGTATTTGTATTTTTGTATATCTTCTCCATTTTCTTTTTTTTAAAGTTTTTTATTTATTTATCTTTAGAGGGGAAGGGAAAGAGAGAGGAGGAGAAACATCAACGTATGGTTGCCTTTCGTGCGCCCCCTGCTGGGAACTGGCCTGCAGGGAACCAGCCTGCAACCCAGGCATGTGCCCTGACTGGGAATCGAACTGCGATTGTCTGGTTCGCAGGCCCATGCTCAATCCACTGAGCTACACCAGCCAGATAGCTTCTCCATTTTCATTGTCCATCTTCTTTCTTCTTTAACAGAAGAAAGCCTTTTACTTATTCTCTTTACTTTTTGTGTGAGTATCCTCTAGTGTTGCCTATTCAAGTTATTTTAAAGCTTCCTTGCAAGTTTTCAGGAGGATATGTATAGCACAAAAGGAGAAAAACTATTAAAAGCTCTAAGATAATAGAGGCTTCTAACATCACTGTTTTTTGTGTTTAACTAGGCAGTGAAACACAAATCAATTCCCTAAGAATTTTTCTAGATGCTTCAGATTTCACAGATTAATTTCTAGTCTATATCCAGATGTACCAACCAATAATACACACTTTCGGATCTTCAGTGGTTCATTTTGAATTTCTTTTCTTCTTTTCTCCTCCCTTCTTATGTTCATATCTACTCCTGCTACACCCTTAGACTGTTGCTGAACTTTTAAAAATTATTTTAATTTTGTAATACCTTTTGATATTTGTAGTAGCATTTGTCACTCCAGCCAGCTAGTAAAATTAGAAGAACTCTGTCCCAAATCCATGTCAGTATATCTATTTGAGAAATTCTAATATACAGTCCCTTGTCATAATGCTTGTCTGAGAAACTCTGAAGTTTAGACATTTTATCTTTAGCAGTTTCTCATATCTCCTCACTAAAGTACTGATAAGTACTTTTATTCAGAGTGGTAACAGGAATAATTTTGGTCCAGCCTGGATCTTCTCTTCTGAGTGTGTCAGAGAATGAAGAAGGAAGTTTGTTTTTCTTTAAATCCCCAAGGCAGATCCCACAGAGGTCTGTCTTTTTGCTTGTTAATCCAGGGACTAATGGTACAGCTTAGTCCCTCTAATTTAATATTCAACATGTAGTAAAGCTTTGTGCTGTGATGATTAAGTTGTAAGGTTCTCATCAGCCTTTCTTTTATTTCTTTTAATATGTTTCCAATTCCATCATTCTGAATCTTTTTTATTACTTTTATTTAGTTATTTTTCCAGTACAGTTTTTTGTCTATTTCTCCCATCCCAGCCTCCCCCGCCCCTTGCTCCCCACCTCCCTCCCATTTCCACCCCCCTTAGTTCTCATCCCTGTGTCCTTTCTATTTGTTCCTCCAAATCCCTCCCCCCTTTTCCCCTTAACTTCCCTTCCTTCTCCCCTCTGGTCACTATCCCCTTGTTCTCTATTTCAGTGTCTTTGGTTTTTTGTTGTTGTTGTTTGTTTTTTTCCTGCTTGCTTGTTTGTTTTGTTGTTTAGCTCCCTGTTAAAGGTGAGATCATATGATTTTAGCAGCTTCATCCATTAGCACTGTGTAGGTTTTAGAATTAACCACAATACAAAATCTCCAAACATAGCAAGTTTATCTTCTTGTGACTTTAGGTCACTGCTTAGTATTAGTTTTCTTTTTTCCTTTTTTTATTCATGTTCACATACATTTCAACAGAGATTATATGTCCCTTTGGCCCTGGCAGTGATTCACTGTCTGGTTTGCCTTTTACTTACTGAGGATGCTCCATCCTTAGTCAATTTTATTCTGCTTTTCTTTCTCTTCATATGGGCTGATATTTATCAGTGAACATTAATAACAAGATTTCAACTTTGTTCACAACCTGTTTTAGTTTCTTGTGCCTATGTTTTAGGGGTCATGGACTATTTTGAATAGTCATTAAATATCCAAGATTCTTTGCTTTACCAGTGCTCATGGCTCCCTCATGGTCTTTGGGGGTATTCTAAATGGACCATTTCTACTCTTTTATATGGATGATATATACACTAAAAATTTGAAATTTGTTTATTCTATAACCACTCTTTCTCATATGATATTTGGCTTCTGCTTTCTCACTGGGGATATATTCTTACCTTGATATCAATGTCCAGATTATAACACTTTGGTTTCTACCCCTTCCTTTCCTTTTGCTCACATGGTTTAGTGGCATGTGAGAACTCCAGTGTAGTTAAAGGCTTTGCCAATGAGGATAATTTCACAAACTATAAGATGTTGATGTCATTTGGATTCTTAACATTTGTCTTGTGTTAACTAACTTTCAACAAAAGAGATATTTAATGAAGATAAGAATATATAGAAAGAATTATACCACTACATCAAAATTCAGTTGTCTTAGGTGCCCCCCTAACATTTTCAAGCAAGTTTAGAAATAGATGTTAATAAAAATTAATTGAAGAGATTGAACAATTGAATTTCTAATATATTCTTTGAACACTCCAGAGGATATTTTCACACATACATTGCAGTACTCATGACCTTCTTTGGCAATCATTTACCTAAAGCACAAATCAGTATTCTTATATGTAGTCCCATTGTTCTCATAGTAAAATACTAATTTTTTATATACGTTATACTCTGACTTGGGGTATTTTCATAACACTAAAGAGAATTTAGTATAGTTTAAAAGTCAAATTCACTCACTTAGATGTATAGTTTTATAGTTTTGACAAATATATACAGTCATGTATCAACAAATACAGGCATACCACAGAGATAGTGCAGGTTCAATTCCGGACTACCACAATAAGGCTAATATGGCAATAAAACAAGTCACACAAATATTTTGGTTTTCCACTGTACATGAAAGTTATATTATACTATGTTGTAGTCTGTTAAGTGCTTAATAGCATTATTTCTAAAAAACAAGGTACACACCTTAATTTAAAAATACTTTATTGTAAAAGATGCTGAGTTATTATCTGAGCCTTCAGGGAGTCATATCTTTTGTTTGGTGGAAGATCTTGCCTCACTGTTAATGGCTGCTGAGAGATTAAGGTGACTGTTGAAAGTTGGGGTGGCTCTGGCATTGTCCTTCTTTTTTTTTAGTTTTTTTATTGTTGTTCATGTACAGTTGTCTTCATTTACACCCCACCCATTGCCACCTACCACTCTCAAACCTACCCCCTTTGGTTTTGTCCATGTATCCTTTGTACATATTCCTTGATGGACCTTCTCTTATTTCCCCCCATTATCCCTCTCCTCCTTCCCCTGTGGTTGCTGTCCGTTTGTTCTTTAATTCAAGGTTTCTGGTTATATTTTGCTTGCTTGTTTTGTTGATGAGTTTGCACCTGTGGGTGAGATCAATTTCTTAAAATAAGACATGCCTGCCCTGGCTGCTGTAGCTCAGTGGATTGAGCCTGGGCCTGTAAACCAAAATGTTGCTGGTTCAATTTAAAGTTAGGGCATATGCCTGGGTTGCAGGCCAGGTCCCCAATAGAGGGCACTTGAGAGGCAAGCACACACTGATGCTTCTCTCCTTCTCTTTCTCCATCCCTTCCCCTCTTTCTAAAAATAAATGAATAAAATCTTCAAAAAAAATAAGACATGACTTCCTCACTAACATTAATCATTTCTAATTTTTGATAAAAAGTGAGAGATGTGAAGCTCTTCCTTTAGCTTGAAAACTTAGATACCATTGTACGCTTTTTAGTTAGCCTAATTTCAATATTGTTGTGTCTCAAGGAACAGGAAATCCTGAAGAGATGGAGAGAGACAGAAGGGTGGCAGGTCAATGGAGCAGTCAGAATATACACATTTATCAGCTAAGTTCATAGTCTTATATGGGTGTGGTTTGTGGTGCTCCAAAACAAATAATAAATCAGAGATTACTGATCACAAAACACCATAACAAATATTAGCGTTATAATATTGAAAAAGTTTGAAATACTAAAAAAGTAGCCAAAATGTGACACAGACATGAAGTGAGCAAGTAGTGGTAGAAAAAATGGCACCAGTAGACTTTCTAGACACAGAGATATCACAATCCTTCAATTTGTAGAAAAACAATACCTGGGAAGCACAAACAAGAAAAACACAATAGCCCTGGCTGGTGTAGCTCAGTAGACTGAGTGCGGGCCTGCGAACCAAAAGACTGTGGTTCGATTCCCAGTCAGGGCACATGCCTGGGTTGCAGGCCAGTTCCCAGCAGGGGACACATAAGAGGCAACCATACATTGATATTTCTCTCCCTCCCTCCTTCCCTTCCCTTCTAAAAATAAATAAAATCTTTAAAAAAAGAAAAGCACAATAAAGGGAAGTATGCTTGTACTGTCAAGTTACAGAATATTTCCATAACTCCAAAATGTTCCCTTCTGCTCCATTGAAACTCTCTGTCACAGTTCTTGGC